TTGGGGGAGGTGCGTTTTCCCCCAGCAGGTGGAAGAAGAAAAGGAAGCCTTTTCGGGGGGGATCCCATCGGAATGGTGTGTTAGAACCGTTCTATTTAAGTGGGAACGCCCCACGGCCACAACAAAAGGTTACAACGTTTAGGACGCCAAGGTCGGCTGCAAAGGGGCGCCAAAGGTTTGGGGGGAGGCGAGAAAAAGGGAGGCCAAGACTTTGGGGTGGTGAAAGCAAAAGAAAGATTCCGCCCCAAAAGATTCACATGGGAAAACCCCTTTAAAGGGAGGGGAAGACTCCAATAATGTGTGATTAAAAGATCTTGGGAAATGATAGGGTCAGAAGTTCTCGTGGCTTTTGAAAACTCAGCTCTGACAGGCTGCTTCTCCAACGGTCCCCAACTGGCGAACGAGGAAACGCCGCGAAGCTTGCCGATCTCCTCAGCATGTCCACGGCCTGGTCCTCTTTGAGGCCCAGGTCCTCCGATTCCCAAGGGTTTTGGCCCCGAGGTGCACCCCGAGTTCAGAAGCGAAACCTTTTGGCCAGGGATCACTCTTGCATTGCTGGCAGATAGAGGCCGTGACATCACGATTCTCGTGGAATTGTCCGATGGCCAACCAAGGGAATCCCTAGTGGAAGGAACCCCGCAATGATTCGCAATGGCGCCCATATCCCATCATGTGAGTAAAGGGCACTGTTCATTGCCAAATGGCTCATTTGTGTTTCGTCCCGGCCTCGCTTGGTTATTGCGGTAAGGCAACGTGATTGCGGTGCCATCCCTTCCTGTCTTTCAATTGGAACGTAAGACTACCGCCTGCTGGAGTTCAAAATCAGCAAATACTAGTCTGTCGGCAGCAGCTTCACATAGCGGACATAACTCTGAACTGAAACAATACAATCACACCCGCAGAGAAGAATTGACATCCTGAAATGAGAGGGAAGACCCTCAAAGGAAACGATAACACCCCTGACACTGAAACAAGAGGATCACGAAAACCGCAACACGCCGAAAGGTGTGTTTCAGGCGGGCGTTCAAAAGAAGAAACAAAAACAAAAAGAGGAAAGGCAAACAATTGGAAACCCTCAACACCCTTTCCTTCACCTTCACACCCCCCGGAGAAAAAAAAAGCTTCCATTCACCTTCCCCTCCGCCCCTCCGCCCCCCCGCTCCCCCCCACCAAAAAAAAAGAAAGAAGGAAGAAAAACAGTCGCAAACCCTCAAAACCCTTCCCTTCATCCCTCGGGCCCAGACATCGAAATCTGGGCTCCCGCGCGTGGGCGGAGTGGCGCTGCCCGTGCAGCTCCGCTGCGAGCCGCGCCAAGCTCTCCACGGTAGCGGCCACCGCCCGCTGCAGCCGCGCCTCCTGCGGTCGAGCGCCGGGCCACGTGGGTTCGGGTGGCAGTGACCTTCCCCATCCCAAGGCTAGGTCCAACCCGAGGCTGAATCTCAAGGGCGGCAGGGGGTATTCTAGGGGTAACCTCCATTTCCATTCTTTCCAGGGAGCCTTCTTTCCACAAAACCATCAGAATCCCAGGGGAAACAGCTGGTTTTTCAAAATAACGATGGTTGAAAAGAATGGAAGAGGAATCAACCCCTAGAAAAATGGGCGTCGCGTGGTCCCCTGCAAAACGAAACACCCAAAATTGGGCCGTCCACAAACAGACATGGGGGGTTCCCTTTAAAGCCCACCCAAGCAAATTGGGCGCCATCCGAAAAATGGCTTGGAGGTTTTCCTGTAAAGCCAACTTGAAAGATTTGGTGCCCTCGTTCAAATGGAATCAATGGTTGACCCCAAAAGAGGCGCCATTTCACAGGAGATTCCTCTAGAAATGGTGGTTGCGGGTCCCCTCTTAAGCAAGGGGTGGCCAAAGGGATGAAAGTTCGCAAGTGCAGTACCAGGACCCTTTGTATAGTGGCTAGCTGTTTTCCAGCCCATCTTTATCTGTGGATGCTTTAAAGATTCTAATGGAAAGCTCAGAGCATCAGGAGATGCATACGATGGAAATGAACAGGCAAGCTGGTTGCCTAGTCAACTTTGGCAGACACTTTCATAGTCACGAGTTGCCTAAAATAGTGCAGCACTCTGTGGTGCACGGGGCTTATTGGAAAGGGGGGAAACACTGAAGGGAGACCCACGGAAACCAAGCCAAATTGCTACCTGAGCAATGTCAGATTTCCTCGCACCTGTCAAACAAGCATGCAAGGAAAAAACCAGCAAGCATCAAGCTGTAAGCTGTCCAACTTGTTGCCAACTGGGCGGCAAGTAGATCTCTATTTGTCCCAGTCGAGCTTTCTTTAAGGGCACCCCTGTAGTAGATTTGTAGGGCCCAAATCCCTGTTTTGACACATCCCCCTTCCTGCGTCGAGTTCACCGCCAGCTGCAGCACGGAGCTTTGGCCGTCGCTCTTGGCAGTGCCATCGCTGTGCAGCCAGGCCGCCGCCTCATCCAGCTTCCCCCGCAGGCTGTCCAAGTGCCTGCGGATCACGCCCTTTTCCCCAAATCGGACAGTTGGCATGCACGCTTGGGCTTCTCGGTTTTTTGCGCGGGCTAAATGCCATGGCGATCTCATCAACACCAGCCGTTCTGTGCTACAAGGAGGAAAACAGGAAATCCCATCTCTTCTCCCTACGCTTATGGCAGCGATTGATGTGAAAACACGCCAACACTTCATCACCAGCAGCACTGCCAGCATCACGAGCATCACCCACCCGCATCACTAGCATCACCAGCATCGTCACAACGTAAGCCCAAGACACCCATTTTTTTGCGCACATGATGATATGATGAAAGTGTTTGTTTGGTTTGGCAAACAAGGAGAGCCTGAGCAGCTATCGCGACCATGTGCCGGCATTTGGTGCACCAAAAGCGGACCAAAGCAGCAGGGGTTGGATTCGAAATCAACATGGGAATCGCAGGACTAGCCATACGCAGCCATAAAGATCTGTCCGGGTGGAGTGCCAAGTGCATGTTCCTTCCGGTGGACCTTCGTGCGCATGTCCTGTTGCTTCAGGGCTTGCTTCTCTGGCATGCATGCTTTCCCCTCCCTGGCCTCTGACTGAAAACTCAGATATGACTAAGCATGCTTTCCATGCGAGACATAAGAATCGCGCATGCGTCAACTCACCTTAACCAATGAGCAACCGAAGCCCAACTCAGTCCTGAAAAAAAAGTGAGCGTCAGGGTTTGGTGGAAGTGATTATTTTTTCCCCACTCCCCCGGCCCTATAACAAACTTGACAAACCATCAATGGCATTGCCCCCACCTCCCCCGCGCCCCTCTTGTTTCAACGCCTCTGGAATATGAACAAATACGGCCGCCAGTCTAGACTCTTTTCTCCTCCCAACCTTCCCATGAGCGCAATAGAAAATAAATCAGAATCCCAGAATCAACTAATCAACTAATTTCTGGAGAAGTTCCTAAAGCAAGATATGAAAAGAAAGGCAATGGGTAAAAAACATCATCTTTAACTCTCGCCAAACGGCTGTTGAGATCCAAGGGCACTCGTCCTGCCTGTGGAGCGCTTGCTCTGGGTCTGCTTCTGTAAGGGCGGTCTCCTGCCACCAAACGAGGAGGGGGCGGGTAACCTAAAACCGCTTTTGTTTTCCAAGGCCCTGTCATGCTGGAGCCCTTGGCTTCAGGCTTGCATCGGAGCGCCGTCCCAAAGCCCCTCTAGTGACGCTCTTGAATGATAGGTAAACTCTTCCAGTGGGCCAAAGGTCCACTTGCACACTGATTACCAAGGCCTGCGGGGGAAGCCGAAAAATGACCCAAACTCCAACAAAGAACATGCGAAACCGAGACGATGAATCGTACCTTTGTGCCTGGGGCCAACCGGCTATGATCCTAGTGTCAATTTCTGACAGGAAATGTTGATGAAAACCCGTTCTATGCCATCCTGCGACCCGTCTGTTCTGTTTGAGTTTGGAACATTTCACCATAAAACCCAAAAAGGCACACATGAGTGTCTGGAACATTTGGGAGTTTCAAGGTTGTCACCGTGAAACCCACCAGCGTCCAGCAGCGACTTCGACAAGCCGTCGCGGTACTGCGTGGCACCGAGCTCGCTCAGCGAGGCCTGGCGACCCTCTTTCAGGGCGGTTTCAGAGAGGTCTACGATGCACACGCTTGCCCCTTGGTGCTCAAGGCGACACACACGCACCAACCATCTGTGCCACCCTCCCCAATTGGGCGGTATGCAAATCCTTGCAAGCCCTGGAAGTTGAGCAAAGACAAATGAGCACTGCATTCACCATTTCCATCTGAAACTCTCCCGATCAAGATGCATCTCGAATGCAATGCTCCGTGCTCACAGGCACATTTCGCAGCCCCTCTGCCCTGTAAGTTGGGAGGGGGCAAGCCTTCCACCATTTCCTGTGCGAGACCGCTTTGCAAAACCAGAATGTGGCCAAAACACATATTCTTGGAGAAGGAAGTGCTTGAAGAGCTCCGCCAGGTCTTGTTCTGCGGAAGTCTTGGTTAGTAAGCACTGCTACAAGTAGTGCCTAGAACTTCCAGACATTGGCACGGACCCTGAATAAGCTCAGGTGATATCCCCAACAGCATGCTGTGCTCTTTTTTGTGCTCGTACCACCCCGTAGCCCTCGCAGAACCTCGTGGAACCCTGGTGGAACCCTCGTGGAACCTTACCTCCAGGCCGCCCCAAACCACCCCGGAGCCTATCTGGGCTGAGACCCCAAAGCTTTCAGCTGTTGGGGAAAAACAAATCTTCGGAAGGGCGATGATGGCAAATCCCCGTGGCTGCAACCAAGCAAATACAGAATTTGTTGGGTGGCGGGAACACGAGCCCAGAATTGTGCATTCAACAAAATCCGACTCCTGAAGCTTAGGCCTTCGGACTGCAAACAGTTCGCACGACCTTTCGAATTTGCTGCGCTCAATGGAAACCACTGTCACCTTCCACTGGAACTCGGAGAAACCAAGGAGCACAGGCCGATCAATGCGAAGATTCAGTCATTTCGGAGTTCCCGGGGTCCGGTTCTGGCGAGCGCGCGCCTGCTGCTGATATTGGCCCAGCTGGTTGAACTTCTCAGCCTATCGTGTCCAGACTTATGGGTAAGGGCCATGCCGAAGTTGCACTTATCATTTGGCCATGGGTCGCAAGCCAAATCGTACCCCCAGTGAACATCCCAATCCAACCACTAAAATGGGTTCTAAAATGGGCAGTGCACCTACCCCAAAATGGTACCATTGGTTTTGACACACCCCTGGGTGTGGCTCGAGATTCAAGAGCTGGGTTAAATCCGCAGGGTTTGGTTTTTGTTCCATTTGCCAGGGTGCCATTGTGGGTACCATTTTGTGAGCCACAGCCACCTTGGCTTTTTAAGTGTTTGTAAAAGGAAGACTTGGGGTCTAGAATGGCGTGGACGGCTCTTGAAGCGTGGACCCACTCAAGTCCGTAGCGCAAACCCTGGCACCCACGATCATTCTACGCTCAGTGGAGCTCCGACGCCATACGACAAATTGTTGCTGATTGGCTCTCACAACTAGGCACCCAAGGTGCCCCTCTGCTGGTTGCTTCCCCACCCTATCGACAAAAACACTGGGAATAGAATGGGCGAAGTCAACCTTCCTGCAATTAAGCCAGAGTTCTTCTAACCGTCTAGGAAGGTCTCAAAATTGGGAACCACCAAACATGCTTGTGGAACACCCACGCGCGCTATGCTCTGGCACTTGGGTTGGCACGACGCACGCCAGAAACTATCTTGCAGGGATCCTTCTTTTGGACAACTGGCGAAACACAGGGGAATCTGGAGGGCTTTGAAAGAATGATGCGCAAATATCAATGGCTCCAAGCACAGAATATGCATGTAGGGGTTGTTCAATTTGGGCTTCGGCCCCTTTTGGGACCTGATAATTATGGAGGACAGGCCTGACAAGGCTCGATCCCATTTTGTCAGGCTCCGGCGAACGTGAGTGGGCGAGCTTGGCAAGTGGTGAACCCGGCTGGCGAGTTCACCAAGGCATCTTCAGAGAAAGGACCCATGGAGAAGATGGTGTACCGCTCCGAAGGCTTGCGAACTGTCGCGTCAGCTGAAAGCTGCCGTCTTCTTCCCAAGTAAACAAGCTCCGCTAGCGGGTAGTTGTTCTTGGTGCTCTGTGGCATTGCATCCCGCGTGCATGTCCTCGATCCCAAGGAATACAGGGCTCCAAGGTTTCTGCACCCCGGGATTGTCGTGGTCTGATCGGCATGCCTTCGGTCGAAAACGGGCTCCCCTATGTGAACGGGTTCTCCCCTATTGTCATTGTTCTTACTGCAATGCCTCATCCGCCAAGTGCCATTGTTCTGCGTTTGACACCAAGATGTCAATGTTCAACTGTGCGACAAGTTCTTCTTGCCGTGACAAGGGAGGAGTGTCGCAGCTCCTATGCATATTCCTCCAGCTTCAGATTGTCCGCCCCTCGGATCAGTCAGTCCAACAAAAATGGTACACCGAGGACGTTCCCGTCTAACAACTAGAGAAGAAAGCACACTTGCAGCTTTTATGCCTTACATACTGAATGAGGGTGCTTCATGCTCGAAAATAAAAACCCTTTGATCCTGCCGCATCTGCGGGCTGCTGTTTCCCTCTTTCCCTCCCCTATGGCCCAGGCAAAGTCGTCCGTCACTTGTGTGATGTAGTGATGCAGCCTCAGCTCCGACTGTTTTGTTGTTGTTTTTTTTTGGGGGGGGGCGGGTAGGCAAGCTCCTTGAGATTTGGCCATGGGTCAAAAGCCCGTACCTCCAGTGAACATCCCAATCCCCACTAAAACAGACTAAAATGGGTGGTGCACCTTACCATTGGTATTGACCCGCAGCCATTTCAGCATGCACCCAAATTCACGTGGGCACATTGGACGTGACCAGACCTCTGCCTTGGCCCTTGCCCACCGCCGGATCCGCGGCAAAGGGAATCCGTGGGGTTTGGGTGCGCAGAGTCCAATTCCCACCACACTGCAACATGCCCCGGAATCCAAGCAGAAACATGTCTCTTCAAATTGTGGACCCTTTTCTGGATGGGGACTCCAAGAGCAAACCAAACATTTGTTGGGTCCACGATGTTTGGGAAACATGTATAAACATCCAGACTGTTTAGGAATCATGTCCCACCTTTCAATCAAACTCAAGACTCTCTTTGCACTGCATAAGCCAGAACAAGCGAATTCACGCAAGCTTGCAATTGATTCCGTCAACTCAGGTATGTGCTTTTTCAATGGCTGATGTCATGGTGCCGTATATTGCTCCAGTGCACGCGCCGTGAGCGCTTATGGCCAGCTCTCGCTTTTGGATCCAATGCCATGCCCAGAATTCCCATACGCTTGCCGAAGATTCGCTTCGTATCCCGTCCTGTGACCCCGGGTCTCCGACATATTCTGCGTGACTTCCAGGAGATGCCTCTCCTGAGGTTGCTATGCCAAAAAACACAATGCCTATCTCATAGTCGGGTACCCTTTCACCTTTGGGTCGTTGTCAGGCAAGATCCGATGCAAGGGTAGCATCCCTGTTGTTTGTGTCAACTGGCCAGTTCCGGCTGCCAGCAAGTTTGTGGGTCTGTCTCTTTTGGGATTGCCGAACAGCTCACTGGGGAGCTGGGCTTTTGCTCGACATCGTGTTTCGCCCTTTTAAGCACATGAAGGCCCCCACACCAGCGGAAGGGCCCACGGAGGCCCAGCAATCAAGCCGGAACATGCATCTTCAGACTTCGCCCGGCAAAAGTTGTCACTTTTGGCCGCTTGACAGGGAAAACCATGGAACTCAAAAAGGCAGCCCAGTCTGGCGATGACATCACGCCCTCCAGAAACCTCACTTGCAGCCAGGGCTCCAATCCCTTCATGGACTTCAGGACCGCCATGTTGCCTGTCAATAAGCCACAGGTCAGCAACAAATTCGCGGGCGAAGGGGCGCCTTGGGACAGTTAGTTTGAACGCCTGTTGCGCTCGAACCGAAAATGAAAAACGACATGCGGCTCGGCCTTTGCCCCGGATGTCCAACCAACTCCGGTTGAAGACAAGTGTTGTCACCTACGAATCCGTCTTGAGACCATGAAAAGACACCAGACATGGCACATACGGGCGTCATTCCTGCGTCAACCATGCACGAAGAAACACGGCAGCCGCAAAGTGCGTCCAGTTTCAAGCCGTGGCTTCTAGAAGCAAAAATCAAGCGGACGCTCCTCGCCATCAAGCAATTGTGTTTCCATGTGCCACACTAGCCCGGAATGGCTTCCACTGTCAGAAAACCAGCCGGCCTTTCAGGACAGCATCCTCTATACAGTGAAGGTCGCAAAAGGCCTTGTACAAGCCTGGCAACGGCGCGCTTACTTCAACCCAGGAATCGCTCATTCCACAACCAGTGGTGAGGAAGAAGGACATCCAAACACTGGACTCCGCTTGGCCATTCTATGGTCATGAATCCTCAGTCCCCTCCATAAGCCAAAAAGCCAGAAAGAAATCACTGGCACTCTGCCCACTTCTCTCTCTCTATTTTTTTTTCTCTCTCTCTCTCTCTGTCTCTCTCTCTCTCTCTCTTTCTCTCTCTCTCTCTCTCTCTCTCCCTCTCTCACGCACACACACACACACTCACGGGAGCGTCCCCGAAAGTTCGCAACGCACCCAAATGCCTGCCATTTAACAATTTCAGCACAGCAGGCTCCAAACAGCACTGTCATGATGCAGGAGAGCACATTGAACCGGCAACTGAGCAAATTTCAATCACCACGCGTTATCCACACAGAGCTGGTATAGCAGCTTTCGTGAAGTTGCATGGTACTGGTCACGCCAAAGACCCATCAACCACGTGGAGCCTTCACGCCGTGTCCGCAAACCTTCCTTGGAACGGTGTTGTTCGCCCATTGTGTGAATCCACAATGGGTGCTAGATAGCGTGCGTCAAACCTGACCAACACGAGCAACATTCCTGGAAAAGCAAACGTTGGGGCTTTCCGACGTGACTGCGGGGCACAAGCTGCAGGCACATGAAATTCTGGCCGCGCTGCTGAACTGTTCACCTCGGCCACAAACTACGCGGTCAGCCATATCATTCTCCTGCCCATTGCAACCGGGTCTTCTGAAAGCTACCCAGCGCGCATCGAATGATTGCCGCCGTGAGTGGTACAGACCGCACTCCCTCAGGCAGCGTCGCAAGAATTATGCATAATTGCAGAGAGTATCATGATTGGACCTAGACACGCGCTCAAAACGTGCGGCGCCTCCTCTCTTTTCACACCATCAGCCCATCAGCTCAAGGGCCCTAATCACGCGTCGAGCTACAAAACACATATAAATAGAATCCGCATAAGATAGAAATACTTCCGCCTGGACTTTGCCGGCCAAGACAAGGTGTAGGTATGTGTCAAAACTAGGGACCCCTCCAAATGGCTGTTATGATGATGACTCCCCTTTGAAGCCGTCCGCTTCCTCGCTCTGCCTCGATAGTGGATGCCTGTGGATCCGGCGGACAACACCCACAAACCAAGACACCGTCCACCATTTCCATGCTGACATTCCTAGGTCCTCCAGTAGAGAGGTTAGAATAAGGGCACCCTTTTTTCTGTAGTCTATTTTAGAAGGGGAACCCTCCCCAAAAAAAGGGTAAGGGGGATCTAGATTCGCTCCCCCAATCGGTAGTCTCCTCCTTCCAATCCTCGTAGGCATCCATATTCGCCTGCAGGAAGCCTCTCGTTTTCTCCAGAACCACCCCCTGCGACGATGAACCTCGGATCTCCAAGTGCTGTCTGGCAAATGCCAGACGGCTGCGAAACCCAAAGGTGCAGTACTCTTAGCCGGAACAAAATGTAAAAAGCTGTGACCTGCGCCTTGTCTGGTGCAGTCGTATGCGATTTATGGAGCAATGCATCTTTTGTGGTGCGGCCGTTCAATCATAAAGCCCCTTGTAGGACCGAACTGTCCTCGCCATCAGGGCCTGAACATATTGGAGGCCAGGGGAATCGGAAGCTCGCCACGCCACACACTTCTCTTGCTTCGTTCAAGACTGAGCCACAACGTCAAACAAGCACCTGGCACAGAAGTCATAAGACTTGCCGAGGGGCAAATGTCGGAAAGGGGCAGCGTGAGGCCAGTGCCGATTCCCAAAGGCGCTGCCACGACTTCCACATTGGGGATCCAGTTGCACAGCGCTGGGGCGAGTTTCTCCGTCAAATCCTCAGCTCGCAATGAGAAAACCAGCAGAGACACCCTTTCTTGTAGATTCCAACTTGAAATCCCCGCACCAATGAGCAATGCTCGCTTTGTGAGAAACCCGCCCAAATGATTGGAAAAAGGGAGCCGGAACCCACTGGGATCTAGGTTTGAGACAGACCTGCTGGAGTCATGGCCTGTGCAAAACGGCCAGCCCTAGCCATTGGTCTGGGGGCCGTATCATTTTCGATCACCTGTTACTTTGGCGCTACATCACCTTTTGCTGCTCGTTCAAAAGCAGTTTCCGGGTCGACCATCCTCTCCCGTTCTATCTCTTCGTCTATGATTGTCTTACCTTGGAAGGGAAGCGCGTTTAGACAAGCGAAGAAACTTGCTCTCTATAGCCCCCAAATCATGCCTTTTCCGCAGGCAAACGCTGAATTCTTCCTAATTGACTATATCGGGAGGAGCCGGAATGAATTGATGGGTACACTTAAGCGAGCCGAAAGCATCAGCATGCACAATCGACATATTTCCGCACGAACCAAGAGCCACTTGCCCAGGTGTTCACTCAAAATCGAAAGCAGGACATCCCACGTAATTAGAACGGACATGGTCCACTTTTCCGGTTTTGAAACCGCCATTTGCGGCGGCCCCCATTTTAAGATCCGGCGAGATTGCAAGCCTCTGTCCCCCAGCCCCGATTTCAGCCAGTCACAGCCCTTGTGTTGCCAAGTCACCAGGCCCAAGTTGCTTGCTCTGAACTTGAAGGTCTGGCAAAGTGAGTCGCAATCAAAACCTGGTATTAAAATGGTCTACCCAGAACCATGCTTCAAGAATTACCAAGGCGGCCGCAGCTGTTTCTGGCTGGGATTGTCCCTTGCCAACCTTCATCTACCCGGTTTTGCTTATGGCTCAAGTGAGGTGGATGGATGGCACGTAATGCATTTCCCCGAGCCCGCCGAAACCATTTCAGGGGCTCTTTTGGGAGTCCATGTGAATATTCAGGTTGGCAACAAGCTGGTCTAACAAGCCCTGAAAGGCATGGATTCCCAGGAGAACATGAACGCAGAATCGTCATCATGCGTAAATGCTGTGTATCATGAGTACTGGCATTCAGTAGCATCCGATGGGAATCTGAGTCGGTGCAAACAAGGTCTGCTCCAGCAAGAGTGAACTAGGACGCTTCATATTCCGCCGTGGGTCAAAGCAAGCGGTCAACTTTGAACTCCACTGGAACTACCGAAGCAATGCAAATACACCTAAGTCTTCTTGAGGGGAAAGACGCAGTAGGCTTGCTCCGTTCTGAGCTACTTGTTCGAAGTAGAAAAATCCAAGGCGTGCAACTCTTCCTATAGGAATTGGTCTTGCAACTCGCAGATGTTCCCATTTGACGCATATTGTCTTTTTTCCCCAAAAAACAATTCCAATGGGTTCTTCCGTTAAGACTGAGTGGTGTCTTCAAGAGGGTCACATCTCCCCATCATACCAAGTCTCTGCAGCTCAGTCAAGCAGCAAGACCTCTTCGAAATGCGTGTGAAAATCATCGAACATCCCCCACGAATGATCATCCCTTCCAACTACTCATGACCACCGACTCTGCAATGTGTTTGAACGTTCAGCATTACCCCAAGCCCCCGCCGCGGCTTTGTGCAACGGAACACGAGTCCTTTCACAACTAACTACATGGGAACGCAACCAGCATTCTCCTGTCTTTTGCCCAGACGCAGGCCAACCTTGCCACAAGTTTGGGCCGACCCGCCTTCCTTTTCAGGGCCAAGTTCCGCTTCCTGGGGCGGTCACTCTCTAAAGTCGCAACTGAAAGCGGTTCTCATCACCCGCATCTCTAGCGCTAGAAGAGCCCGTCGCAGGGGCCAAGTGCTTGGATCCACAGGGTGGTTGCATTCTACGGCGCGACTTGGCCCAGTGTGATGCCATTGGGCACAAATGAGTGGGCATCGAACCAAGAGAGCGACCGCCAACCTCCATCAGAATCCACTACACAGGGACACTGAGAATTGCCAAACATCCTGCCTAACATGACTAAACGAGAATTTCAGTGAGGTGTCTCGTGCAATGCTCTGCGCAAGTGCTCTCAGCGATTTACCGGAACAACCCTTTGCAGTGCTTTCAAGAAAAACGCCGGCGTGCATGCTAGAATCCTTGAGGGCTCGAACCAGGATTTTACATTTGATGTATTTTGGGGCAGGCCAAATGGAGGGACCTGAACAGTTGATTGTGGAATCTTCCGTCTTGCATCCAAGGAAAAGCACATTCAATTTGCTTGGATAAACCTCGAAGTGCTTGAATGCTGGATAGGATGGAAGAAGGTCTGAACAAATCCGTTTGAGGAAGTGCTTGCACGCAAGGATAACTCCCTTTTGACTAAGTATGGCCCAGAGTACCGGTTTGTGCAGTGGATTTGGGAATTAATTATGAAGCTCTAGCATTGAACTTGACTACCTGATCATCCTGGGAGTCAAGAATTGGGTTCAATATATATATATATATATATATATATATATATATTTGTTAAAGGGAGGTATTCATAGCACCAATGCCTGGTATTGAAGTAAGATTGGCGATTCAAAGAACATGCTCCCTGGAATCATACTGTTCATACCTCCGCACCGCGTCCTGAAATTGCCAATGCGAGGATTGAAGAATCCACAACAGTAGAGGGCAAAGATTATTCAAGGCTGGGCAGCCAGGCCAAAAGGTACATCTTTGGGGGGGCAGTATGTGTATATGTGTACGTGTATATATATATATATATATACATATAATATATGTGTTTACTATTATTAATATTATTATTATTATTATTATTATTATTATTATTATTATTATTATTATTATTATTATTATTATTGTTTTTATTATCATTATTATTTTCGGCGTACCATCCTGACGAGTTGACTGCAGCTCAACCCACACTTTGCGGCTTCAAACTTGCACTGGCCAGAGCATCGCTGGAAACAACCTGCACCGACCGGGGGAGGGAGCCTGCGTGCCTTCGGAAGACAGGGAAACATGACCACCCGCCCACCCAACCCCAACCCACCCCTCCTAACCCCGCAGCTCGCGGTTTTGCAGCCCCAAGCAACTCTTAATGACAGTAGACTCATTTTTTTTAATATATATATATATATTACTACACATACACAAAAAACAAAAAACGGGTGTAAGAGTGCGTTCGAAGCGAGAGGCAACAACGCCCCGGGCCAACACTCTGAGTCCGCGCCCCCTGTATTCCAAGCTGCTTGGCCCGCTTCGCACACGCTACGATAGACTGGACGGTGAAGCCTTTTTCATCCTGCACAGAACCCAAGTCAGCTTGCTATCGAGCATCATCTTGTTTTGCATCTATGCAAATTTGGCTGCGGCTCATGTGGCTGCCCCACGGCGACTTGCAGGGAGAGAAATGGAGCCATGTCGGTTGCTTGCTTCATGTCAGGATGGTTGAATCTGGAGTCGGTAGTTGAAACCGCACCGAACTGAACAACCAAGTGCCAAGCATGATATCGTTACTTTCAGTGAGCGGGTTGCTACAGCAACTTTAGGTCTGGTGTCCGAAAAAAGGTGTTGAGCATGTGGTCCCTTGACAGTCACGACTATGCAAGCACAGCACCTCAGCAAGACTCGATGGTCAACTTTGGCAGAAACAATATGTCATATGTTTCTGTTGCCATCTCTGGGCAACTGAAAAAATCCAGTGGACATGTCGACATTTGCTACTCATGTGCAAAAGTGGCGGGGGCACTCAGAAGTGGGGAATCGGTCACCGCAAAATGTCTCTTAGCAAAGCCAGTGAATCGTGTGGCATGTATCACGTTCTACAATTCTTCACCTTCCCTCAGCAACTGCAACGTGACTGAGGGGCTGTTGAAGTATGTTCTCATGCATGAGTCCTTCATTTTTTTTAGCGTGACTACGCCTGAGCGCCATATTACAAGTCGAAGGCTCTGTCACACAAATCCACGACATCCCTCCTGGTCGTCAGGCCTAGAGATCGTTTTCAGCTCCTCCCTGTCCCTGAGCACACGGCTCCGAGATGCCAGCAAACTTGGATTCGGGGTTCTGGACATCGCTTTGGGGACCCAGCGGGGGTCCTTTTCACAACCACTTGGCAAGTACTTTTGAGAAATAAACCAGATGAGACCGAAGCGTTGACAACACTGACAAGACAAATTCCGCTGTGCCTCGCCGGTTCAAACAACTCCCAACATCTCCCCAAAAAAACAACTTCCAGAACCAACAGACCTAAAACCGGGCCAGCCCACGCCTCAAGTCTGCAAGCTCGGTCACGTTTCTCGAGCCCGTTTCAACCCGTCACCCACTCGGACAAGCTGCCGATGCAGTTCTTCAGCTTCCATCGCCTCAGAAACCGAAAGCAAGACCCCCCTTGGCGAAGCCGCAGGGTGTCGGAAGAGGTCCAAATTATTTCTAGCACTGCCCTTGGCAACATTGCTGGTTCTCGCCTGGCTCGGAAAAAAACGTGGAGAGCACGAAAAATGGCTGCGCCGCCCTCTCGCGCCTTGTCAAAGATCCACTTGCCGTCGCCCTCACCATCACCCCCATCTCCGCCCCCATCTCCGCCATCTCCGCCCCCATCTCCGCCATCTCCGTCATCTTCGCCTAATGGCTTCACTAGCTTTCCCCTTCCCAGACGCACAACAACCTTGGATTGATCTGTTTGGAAAGCTAGAGAGATGTTGAGATAACAACCAAGCTCCAAATCTTGCAGCTTCTTGTAAGAATGTCAGCAAGTTTGGCTCGAGCCCATAGTCGCAAACAGAACGGCCTTTGCATCTTAGGTTCACTGGTTCGCTAGATGCTCTCCAGACAAATGAGGCGGTGCACACAAGTAAGGCTTAAGTTTGAGCTTAGGATCCGAAGGCAATGAAGCAGAAACCAGAAAGCAATTGGAAACCTTGCGGGCACCAATGTGAACCTGGCGCTTGAGGGCCGGGCTATAGGTGGCCGCTGAGTAAGCGACCTCCAAATGACGTTGCCAACCATATTCCTCTTCGAAGGGCGCTCGATCTGGCACGGCTTGCGGGCTTTGGCAATGCAGAGCTGAAGTGACCCACAGAGCGGACTGATGCCAAAAGTTCAACCCTACCAATCAAGATCAAGTAAGGGTTGTTGGTTCTTGGTTCTTGGTTCTTGGTCCAGGGTCCTTCCAAAGTCCTTCCGGCAAAAATCACCGGCGGCTTTGCCTCTGCACGATGCGAGGGAAGAGTCGCAACCTCCCATTCCCACGCAACACTTCCTTAAGACGCCGAAGGCCGCCTTCCCACCCGGAGGTATCGCCGAAACCTGAGGCCCTCAGTTGCTGCGCGTGTTTGGCGTCTAAGGCGCAGAGCCATTGCGTCAACCTGTTATGCTTCTGGATTGTTGAAAAAGGCGAGGGGAAGCAGTTGAAGACGGTGGAGTTGCCTCGCTGAGGATTTGCGCTTGGTCTCTCAGTTTCAATCTGACTGGCAGCGTGCTGGCGATGAGCGCGGGTTTTGCCAGCGTGTGATTTATCACGCTGGCCTTCGAGGAATCCGGCAAGGTGTCACGAAGCGCTGCGCTTTAGATGGCAGGCCACATTGAGCGTGCTGCGAGTTTCCAGGCAGTTGCAGACGCTCTCAGCAAACGCTTCCCACTCCTGGGTTGCTCGCACACGAAACCCAAGGTCGACCCAAACATGTTCAGAACATGTGTGTCTGCGAGCTGGCTCTGACATACCTCTGGACACGCAATGGGTCTTGAGACATCAATTACAAGTAAGCACAACAAACACCAAAGCCTCGGTACTCAGCAGGCTTGCAACAACGACGTCCCACTGGTGATACTGTTGGCTAGAAACTCTTTCTAACAAATCAGCGTCGCCAAGTTCGGGCATGGCCAAGTCAATGCTCTTGACTCACCTAAAATTGCCCACTCTCACATTGCCCCTCCTTCCCCGCCCCTGCGGCCTAGGCCCGCAGGCGAGTTGAAATACTTGTTGCAAGGGTGCCATCCTTCCTTCGTGCCTCGCGCACCAAAACGGCCGCTTTCAGAGCACTGTTGAAGGACTCGCAAATCCAAGGGCTAATCCCATCAAGCAACATCCATGTCCTTTCACGGGGCCAAGATCGGATGCGTTGCCCAACGCTGTCGCAAACAATTCAAAGGGCCGGACCACCAAATGGAGTGTCTGATGCTAGCGAGATTCAGACGCGAAAGTAGTTAGTGGAATTTATTCTGCAACACTGTTTCAGATAACTATGCAAACCATCTCGAGCGCCCAGGCATTTCACAACCGTTAGTTGTAGATGTGGATAACTTGTCCCAGCAGGTTCTTGAAGCATGCGTCACGATTTTCCAATCCCTCTTAGCACTTTTGCTTCTCAAGTGTACAACAAGAGGCCAAGCAAGTCATTGCAACTTTCTGTACCACTTTCTCCTCAGGCTATGGCTTTCTCCTTTATCAACTGCATCGTCAAAGGGAACGCTCAAAGGAGAACCAACATGCCAACTTTCATTTTGTGGTCCTCCACTCTTGACTCACATCTTGAGCAAAAATAAATCGCCTCGGCCCCCATACCGGGAAGCGGTCAGACCCCTTCAGAACCTCTTCGTCGCGCAGCCGAAATCCCTGCTCCAGCTGCCTCCAGTCCGCCTGAAGCAAGCCTGGAGGGCCCAGGGTCACATCCCTTCAAGAAAGGCATCTAACTCTCCCCTCAAAGCCGAGCGGCCAAATCCCTCACAAACCGGTCAAAGCCCCCTTAAAACCGGTCATCTAGAAAGTGATCGTTGAACTTCCCATCCCCAACCTGGTCAAATTTCCCTTTCAAAGCCGGTCCAACTTCGGTCATGGTCAAAATCCCTGCAAACCGGTCGAACTCCCCTCCACAAACCTATCCAATCCCCTAAGAAACCTGTCAAATCCGGCCAGATCCCTCCGGAAACCAGACCAGAAACCAGTCAAACTCACCTTCGCTTGGCCCAAGCTCACTGCCATTCTGTTGCTCTCTGCAGCTCTCGTTCTGGCCCTTGAAGCCATGTGGAAACACGCAAACATGCACCCATCCTACCTTGGACGCAAACACAAGACTTCAAGGCAACCGAAAGCACGGTATATACCTCAAAGCCAGCCAAAAGCGGACTGGCCGAGGCGGGCAACGCGAAGCGTTTACAATAAAGTGGCCCTAAGTGGGGGATTCAACAAAATACTGTTACCCATATGCCAAAATTAATGCCCCGATTTTGGATACCATCACTGGGTCCACCAAATGACATCCGCGCACTCACCAACATCGTATAGTGGTGAGGCTGAAATAGAGTGAAATCCACACCCCCCAAGGTACCCTCTGCAACCCCTATCGGCTCACTACAAATTTCCAGACTTGGGCCACTTCCGATGCGGTTTCCAGGAGAGCCTGAGAGCAGCTTCTGGTTCTCCTCGCTGTTGATCTCGCGGATCTTCTGGCGTCGGTCCACGCCCCAGCCGGACGCTTGCTCCTCGTCCTCGGAGATCGAAGCATGGACGACGCAGGTCTCACAAACGGATCCGGCAACGAAGCATCAACAAGGTGAAAAACCACGTGAGTCACAAGCAAAACCCGGTATTAAACTGGTCTACCCAGAACCATGTAAAGAATTTCGAAGGCGGCCGCAGCTATTTCTGGTCCCTTGCTAACCTTCATCTACCCGTGTTTTGATTGTGACACACGTGAGGTTGAAACCTTGCGCCCGAAGCCGGTTCCTTGCCAAATCACCGTACGCGTGTTTTGCGCAAAGAGCCCAAAGCCCGAGGCACATTGCAATTGACACTGTTGCAACCACGACGACGACCACGACGACCACCACCACCACAACCACCACGACGAGCACGACAACAACCAACCAGCACGCAAACGAACGAACGAACGAACGAACCAACCAACCAACCAAGCAGCCCAGCCCAGCCCAGCCCAGCCCAGCCCAGCCCAGCCCACCCAACCCAACCCAACCCAACCCAACCCAACCTAACCAACCCAACCAACCCAACCAACCCAACCAACCAACCAACCAAGTAACCAACAACCAACCACCACTACCACCACTACCACCACTACCACCACTACCACCGCCACCGCCACAGCCACCGCCGCCGCCGCCGCCACCAACAACAACAACAACATCGACGACGTGTACTACCATAGAGAAGCTTCCCAGCGAAAAGATTTCTTGCATGGGGTGCCTCCTTGCACCGGGCAGGTGAATCCCTCCTAAAAGGACGCAGATCTTGGGCGCTGCTCATGACAAACCGTCCATGGCCACCAGAGAGCAGGTTCATTATGCATTATACCTAAGAAGCGATAAGTGTTGCTTTCCCTCAAGCAACAGCAACATCCTTAGATTGGAGTTGATGCACTGTGGCATCAGCACATTGAAGGATGCGTCAACTACATGGCAACAAAATGGGGGGGCCCACGGTTGCAAGCCATTCTGAGAGGTCCGATTCGTTATTTTAGGAGCAACTCACAAGGCTTGCTTTTGTTGACCCAGGCACCATCTGGCTTTCACTCTCGTAGTCGTCCCCATCCGGAGCCCGGAAGGCGCAGTAGGGCTTGTACCTGGAGTCAAGATGAGTCCGTCCATGGCCTGACCGTAGCAAGAGACCTGAAAACTCCATGGAGGACCGGAACAACACTCAGCTTTTACAAATGCCTGAAAAGGGTTGGCCATTTGTGAAGAAGGATGACCTCCATCTTTCGCACCTCGGAATGCTAATTGAGTTACCGTGATTCTATTGCCCCTTTTCACGCTTTCTTTGATGCTGAGTGATCCCAGCCGCCTCCCGCTTGAGCCGCCTGAGACCCGGAAAAAGGAAAAAACTAAGACCCTAAGAGCCGCGAAGCCGCGAAGCTGGTTCAGTGTCCCCAGGGCACTTGGGCACCACGGGGAACCAGGCGCGCTGGGAGCCGAGGTCGAACTTGGTGATCTCCGCCGCTCTCACGTGGAAGACTTGGCCTTCCTCAGCCTGCCTAAGGCGACGTCTGAGGTTTCAGGTGACAGCCCGCTAGGTCCTCCAGTAGAGAGGTTAGAATAAGGGTACCCTATTTTTTGCGGTAGTCTATTTTAGTAGGGGAACCCTCCCCCAAAAAAGAAATGGTAAAAGGGCACTGGGGGACCTAGCCCGAGCAAGGCGGCGTGGGCTGCTGAGGTGAGTCCCTCTGATGCGCTCGTAGGGGATTCGATCCGCCCTTTGGCCCAGCTCTGGTGTCGATCCGCCAAACATCTTGGCGCAGAAAGGCTCCGAAACAGGAGGAGGAAAGCTCCGCCAAGTGGGTCCGCTACGCACAAGACTTGCAATGCGGCGTGAAGTCCAAACACAAGTGCTTTACTCAAACGCAAACACGAGCCAACGGCGCATTTTGGCTAGTGTGTGCCTGCGAAACTCGCTCGCCTCACCATTTCGAAACTCCACTTGAAAGTGGCAAAATGCAAAACGACAGCTGCAGGCATCTGCTCAAGTCTCTACTGGCAAAAAAAGAAAAACCTCTCCACGTAGGCAGCCTGTGGGTCAGCTCGATTTACCCGCTAACCTCGTCATGGTTTATGCAACGGCATCAAATACGGCGAGTTTCGCAGGGCCCAGCGACTTCTTGTTCGACGCCACTTTCTCCTGTGCGAGCCATTTTGGGCGGCCATTGTCAAACGGACCGAACGCAAGCGCTTGCACGGGCTTTAGGATTTGCAGCTGATGTGCTATTCCTCATCTGGGCAGCAAAACACCCATGTCGTGCATGTTGCATGTGACCTGGACCCCTGCCGCGGACACGCTTTCACCCTCGGCCTAGCCAGCTTGACATGGATTCCGGGTGGATGGGCTATGAGTTCCATGTCAAGTGATGTTTTCGTTTCTCATTTGGCTGGCCCTGATTCAGCACATCTCCTGTTGTCAGGTCATTTCAGGAAAGCCCCGCGCCCCCAAGTTGGAGACATGTCTGCGTCCCACTCTCCAAATGTGCATCAGCATCGCTCAAAACACATGCTGCCATGGTTCAACGCTTAAACCATGCTACTGTGACATACAGGTGCTTGTGGCAGTGCAATCGACAATACCACGCGCACGCGCGGGAGCCTCGCTTGCTTCAGCGGCGGGTGCCTGATTCAGACAACAGAGCTGCAATCAAAGCGTCTAAGCTTCAAATTGAAGTGAAGCTGGGGTGTTTGTCTGGTGGCTCATTATATAGATCCGGAAAGCCCAACAGTCAGCAACATCCTCGCCTGGACACTGTCTAGCACAGGGCTGTCTGAGATAGGCGGCAGCTCACAAAAGTGTTTCCGGGGAGTTCGGCTCCTCGATCTCGGTACTTGATTTGTTACTGCAATGTCTGTTATTGGCCATCCTGTTGTTTCGAGTCAAAGGCACGAGGACTCAGACTTTCGCTGGAACAAATTCGACCCAACCGCCCGAGCTTGAGCTTCAATCAGGCTGATCAAGAAAGCTCAGCGACAGAAAAACAGAGGAATGATCTGGGCATGCTAAGCTTCATGACTACTGGACTCAAAGAAAGAAGGCAAAAAAATCGTGGCAGAGGACATAGAGCTAAACGCGTGGAGCTCTGAAAGTTGGTGCACATGGCTTGGTTCTATAAATGAATGTCCATTCCTCGATACCCTGAAGCCTAAGGGTTTGCCAGTGGCTCGCACATGGGATCAGACAAATATGCGGACTGGATCAATCAGCAACACTTCGGCAATTGCGGGCATCGATCAAGTGTTTGGGCCAAGTATTGCTGAAAATCACTATTTGCAGGTAATACTTTCCCCACTAATCATTGCAGGAATCATTGAATCAAGTATTTGATGAAGTGCGCTATCATTGCCGATCGCAGCACCGACCCAAGTACAATAACTATGACGGAAAACATGCTCTCCCTGCACCGTCGATCATGCTGCAGTTGAACAATGGTATCCAAGGTCTCGTACCTGCAGCTGCTGCAAACTGGTGGACGGCATTTCATCAAAGCCGGCACGCCTTGACCACTCTCCTGCCAAATGCTTTAGAAGCCGTCAGGAACCTCAAAGCTCTCTCCCAAGCAAAAATGTGTCGACACGCACTCAATCCCTGGCCAGCCAACCAAAGAAGCAATCAAACAGAGAAATGGCCTTAAACACGCATGGCAACAGTGCGGACCACCTCACCCTCATAACCGAGCTGCCGCGAGCTTCGTGATATCAATGATGCCGAAGTTCAGCTGCAGCGGATGTGTCGCAGTGCTTCTAGCGCCTCAGATCGGCCCGGTGGCAGATCGGCCCGGGTCATTTGTCTGCCTTGAAGCAGGTTGTTACCCAATGCCTCACTTGCAACGTGTCAGCTAAATGTTCTGCCTGAGCCTCACGTGCTTCGTAGATCACCAAAATATGGCTGCAAAAACTTAGACGCCTACTGCGCTGTGTGTTCCCCTTGCTTGATATATTAGATTTAACGTACTTGAAGGTAATACAGTCACACAAGAAGTGAATACTGGTGGATATAATGTCCATCCTGTACCGCCTCCAAATTCTGACATTAAAGAAAGAATTTGGAAACGATATGAAAGTAAAATAATTATGATGGAAAAATATTGACTCTAGGCTAGACCACTTCGGGAGATCCTTGGAATATAGGTACAAAACAATTTCTAAATCCTCCAAACAAGCCAGGCATTACCAAAAAGAACATCATCAGAAAGCCCTGCAATATAGTGCTTATGTCATAGAAGTTCTGGTGTTCTTGGCTAGGTCCTTATCAAAATAATGTGATTCGTGTAAGGACTGATCTTCATGTACCGGAGAATCCAAATATGAATCCAGACATTAAAAGTTCCTAAGCCTTTATGATTACAATTGTTAACTAGTGAATAAAATGATATAGTATTATAATAAAACAGAAATCATATAAGCATATATTGTTCATGGTTGTTTTTGTGATTTATTTCACTGTCATGTTATCTGTCTATCTTGATGTTATTCATCGTCTTCTTCTAACCGTTCAATGTGTCAACGTCAATCAAACCCAAATGCAGTTGAGTGCGGAAAGGTAAGGAGAAAGAATCCTAGAGTCACAGCTAGTAAATAGAAGTCAATGTCTTTATCGTGTCAGTTGTGTGGCTCTATGTTCTGTGTACTTTGCTTTGTCTTTACTATTGTGTCATGTCTCTAGTTCGACTTTACGCATAATTCTATCATTCCTGGAGAGTCCTCATGTGTCTATCATAGATCCCAAAGAATGAAGTTGCAGAGATGGTTACACTATTATCAGGAATTTTCATTCCGCTAATAAAAACGTCTTGAAAGTAAAAATAAAGCAGAAAGGAAAATAAATGGTATATGACGTCATGTCTATGTCTATCTTGATATCTTGATATCTTGGTATTCTTCATTCATATCTTCGTTCATCATTTGCGACGAATGGATGGCTGATTGGTTGGTTAGTTGGCTGGTTGGCTGGTTGGCTGGTGGCTTGCTTGCTTGCTTGCTTGCTTGCTTGCTTGCTTGCTTGCTTGCTTGCTTGCTTGCTTGCTTGCTTGCTTGCTTGCTTGCTTGCTTGCTTGCTTGCTTGCTTGCTTGCTTGCTTGCTTGCTTGCTTGCTTGCTTGCTTGCTTGCTTGCTTGCTTGCTTGCTTGCTTGCTTGCTTGCTTGCTTGCTTGCTTGCTTGCTTGCTTGCTTGCTTGCTTGCTTGCTTGCTTGCTTGCTTGCTTGCTTGCTTTGCTTGCTTGCTTGCTTGCTTGCTTGCTTGCTTGCTTGCTTGCTTGCTTGCTTGCTTGCTTGCTTGCTTGCTTGCTTGCTTGCTTGCTTGCTTGCTTGCTTGATTGATTGATTGATTGATTGATTGATTGATTGATTGATTGATTGATTGATTGATTGATTGATTGATTGATTGATTGATTGATTGATTGCTGGATTGATTGCTTGCTTGCTTGATCGATTGATTGACTGCCTGACCGAGTGCCTGACTCTTGATAGATAACTAGTTTGCCTGCCTTTATGTCCAGATTGCTGAAGCTTCTATTCCGGCCTTGCCACTTCAAACTGACACAGAATGAAAATGCTTTTTTCAGATCCATCTAAAAAAAACAGGGCTTCCACTGTTTGGTCAGCATGGGCCTGATGGTTTCCAGCAATCTTTCGACATGACTCCGTGCCTAGGGATGCTGGGAACTGACGGCCAACCTTTCCGAGCAGCAGAAGCTCTCCTCAGGGCCATTCATACCTCGGCAAGCAGGTTTTTTTTGGCCGCATACTCTCGGTTGCTTTCTGCTCCCCTGCTAAAAGTTTAGCTTTTAGTGGTTTCATGGAAAACCACTAGTTGGCAAAAAGTTGAAGTCCTAACATCCAAGCAAAATGCGACAAAGTACTGCTGAGATCAACGCCCTGCAACCTCAGAATCAACAAGTGTTGCCCGTTGTGAGACGATTGTGTTTGAGGTCTCTACTCGAGCACAGCAGGATAAATGACTCCCGACTGTTGGTGAAACACGACGCCAACAACAGCCAGTCTGACCCGATTCCTTTTGCACGCGTTCCGCAGTTGGGATGATTTGCTTGCAAACCAAGCACAGTTGGAGAGCTTGTAAATGAGATGCTGTACTTATCGTGCTACTCGAGACTTGTCTTGTCTGGCTTTTCCGTAATCTCTTGCTCCATGCTGAATAAGCCGCTTGTTGGATCCGAGATCTGAGTCCGCCCTCCATCCTCTTCTAATTTGTAGCGTCGGGAAGCGAGAGAAGAATCCACGCGACAACCGAAGGCAGGTTTGCAACGTGGTTGTGTTGGGTACATGGGCGGAAAGGGAAGCAAGGCCAAAGGTGGTCGGAAAAAAACCTCTATGTTTTGAAAGCAACATGATCCCGGCACAAAGGCAACATTGTGCATGAGCATGTTGAAAGCAACACTGTACGGTCCAGGTGCACCACTCCCCCAGGAACTTGTCGAATACAAGCTTCCACCTGAGTCTGCGATGTTTGGTGCTGGATTTTGTGTTTGATCTCAAGGGAAGTCAAGTGGCTGAGTTGATTAGATCCGCCAGGAACATGAAAGGTGATTGATGGAAACGCATCCCCGCGTCAGTCAGGTCGCCTTCAAAGATCTTGAAAAAGTGTTGCAATCAAATTCGTGCCGGCCCTCTGTGGCCGACCCGCGGAAAACGAATCCAAAAGCCGGAGCCCTAGAGGAACCCCATGATCCTGCTGGAATGTACCATGGGCAACCCACAGGAAACAAGCGAGAATGTGGGGAGTCCTTTGGACCATAGCTTCCGTGATGTACTCTCTTGGCCAAGGCAGTCAACGCAGAATTGACACGGCAAGAAGGCGCTTGCAACATTTTGACAAACGTGGAGTGAGAACAAGCTTTGCCTAGGGATGACTCAAGGAAGCTTCCTCAGGCACCAAGCTCTTCTAGTTAAACAAGGTCTAGCAGGGCAGATTTCAGGTCTGGCGTGCATAAGGAGAATGTCTGTTTGGAGTGGCTTGTGCCCACATCCCGGACTCAGCAACTTGGCGGCCCAGCTTTGGCTGGCCGGCTGCCTTATAGAGGTGATAGGACTCCATCTGCATGCGGCCTTCCTTCCGAGAGACTGGGCAAACGGGAGACTTCCCTTTCGTTCAAAGGGAGACCCCGCAAGGGGGCACCAACCATTGTGGGGCCCACAAGGGAACTGACACATGTCCTACAGGCGTCAACATCCGCAGGAAGGTTGCGAGAAAACAAATAGCGCAACCGTTGATTCTGATCATCTTGCATGCACTGGACGTGTTATACGAGATAACACTGGGATAGAATTTCGGTTGGGGTTGTACTACCATGAGAGGGGGGGCAAAGCTGTGCATGCCAGCGTACCTACGTGGTTTGAACGTATCATTTGCT